GTCAGCAGAGCTGGGCCCGACCACCCTCCTCCGAGCGGGGCTGCTCGAGCCTCACGGCACCCAACGCCAGGCCTGGAGAAACATCTCCCGTTCCGCTTCCAGGTCCGGCTCTTCCTAACGCTGGTGTGCGTGGCGGTGCTCGCCACGCTGTACGTCCTGCTGTGCTCCCACACCTGCCTGAGGCCCTGCTGCCGGACCCCGGGGGAGAGGGGCAGCCCCGTGGCACCCGACGTCCTCAGCTTCCAGGGGTACAGCCGCGTCCCCGACGGGAAGGTGCGTGGGGATGGGGCAGCGGTGGGGCAGCTCGACCCACCCGTGCCTCAGTTTCCCCTTCCTTAGGGAAGGGCGGATGGGGCTGCGGTGTGTCCGGCTGCTGCGGGAGGAGGGAAGGGGGACCCGGCTGCTGACGGTGCATCTTCCCGCAGCCGCTGGAGCGACCGCTGTGCCGCCGCTGCGCCGTCGTTTCCAGCTCGGGGCAGATGCTGGGCTCGCGCCTGGGACGGGCCATCGACCGGCAGGAGTGCGTCCTGCGCATGAACCATGCCCCCACCGTCGGCTACGAGGAGGATGTGGGGGCACGGAGCACCATCCGGGTGGTGTCACACACCAGTGTCCCGCTGCTGCTGAGGAACCAGCCTTACTTCTTCCAGCAGTCCCAGGAGACCCTCTACATCATCTGGGGGCCAGCAAAGAAGATGAACCGGGAGAAGGTGGGCACCACCTACCAGGCGCTGCTGAATGTGATGGAGACGTACCCCCACCTGCAGATCTACACCCTGACCGAGGAGAAGATGGCGTATTGTGACGACATCTTCCAGAACGAGACAGGGAAGAACAGGTACCGCCGGCTCCTGAGGAGCCCCCGTCGGGTCCCCCCACCGTAGCACCTGTCCTCCCCCATCGGGCACCCATAGCCCGGCTGGGACGGCAGCACCGTGCCACCCGCTCCAGCGCGGCCGGGGTGCTTTGCAGGATGAAGTCCGGCTCCTTCCTAAGCACGGGCTGGTTCACCATGATCCTGGCCATGGAGCTGTGCGAGCAGATCTGCGTCTTCGGCATGGTCAGCGACAGCTACTGCAGGTGCGTGGGGGGCGGCGGGGGCAGGCGCGGGGTGGTCCGGTGTCCCCCCGAGCCTCGTGCCCACCACGTCCCCTCCCACCAGGGAGAAGAACCACTCGAGTGTGCCCTACCACTACTTTGAGAAGGGCCGGCTGGACGAGTGCAGGATGTACCTGATGCACGAGCGAGCCCGCCGTGCCGGGCACCGCTTCATCACCGAGAAAGCCATCTTCTCCCGCTGGGCCAAGAGGAGGAACATCGTCTTCACCCACCCTTCCTGGGCAGGCAGGTAGGGCACCAGCTGTAGGGCGAGGTAGCGGGGACGCCAGTGGTGGGGCGGCTCTCATCCTGCAACGATGAGTCTCTGCTCTGCTGGTGCCACGGTTGAAAGCTTTTTGCCGAGCCCCGGAGCAGGGAGTGTCCATCTCCGCAGCGGCAGGGCCAGTTCTGAAAGCCAGTGGGTGGGCTGTGACCCCTTCCATCAGTGCACGAGGCGTGTGAGCTGGTCCCACGGAGTCCCATCGGCTCCGAGCGCTTGCCCAGATGGACCCAGGGCAACCACAAAGGTTTTCCACTTGCTCTACTGGGATGAATATTTAATGCTGGATTAAACATTCACGCTGCTGGGCTCCAGCGTGACACAGGGCAGGAGAGCTCGGCCCCGCCAGGGCCACGAGCCAGTGCTTCTCCCAGGGATGAAGCTTCGCCATGGTCCCTGCCCTGAGACCTGGCACTGGGTGTGGAGTGCGGGGAGCCGGGTCCTGGCCCCCCTGTCCTGCTGCCCCTGGGCAGGTCCCTGTGGCTCCAGCTGCCCTTTGCCCCCAAGCCGGGAAGCTCAGGGGCCATGAGTGCCCTGGGAGCTCCGAGTTGCCTTGTCACAAGTGCCCTTGGATTCAGACCAAAGCAAATGTGGCCATTAAAGTGCTTTTAACTCAGTGGTGCCCTGTGCTGTGCCCCTTGCAGCTGTGGGACGTGGGGACAGGGGATCGCAGCTGGTTGCAAGGCTGCCAGCGTCCCGCTCCCCTGCCAGGCTAAAAATAAGAGGGAGAGGTGACGAGGGGGTAGAGCCGAGCCTGAGCATGGAGGAGGGTGCTGAATGCCAACGGCCGACATTATTTGGGAACCGGCAGCTGCGTCTCTGCAGGATGGGTACTGGCCTGGCGTGGATTCCGTGCTGGGTCCAGGGTGATCCTCAGCCCCACAGGGCTCAGCACTGCTGGGCTGCAGGCAGGATGGCTGCCAGCTCCTGTGTCCCTGGAGAGATGGGGCACACATGAGGCCCTGAGCCCAGCTCCACAGAGCTGCCATAGCGGCTTTTTGAACCCGCAACAGATGCCACATGTTTGGGTGGGCGCGGCGGTGTCTGGGGGGCCAGGGGTGGGCAGGAGGGGCAGACAGACCCATGTTTGCTCCTGTTTTAGCTGAGGCCAAGTGCTGGGGTCAAGCGAGAAGTGAGTCGGCTGGGACTTGGGGCTGCTGCCAGGACAGCTTCCCGCAGAAGCTGTGAACAGAAGACGCCCGTGGAGCTCTTTGTTGGGTGCTCCAGCTGCCACAACCCCACACAGTGAAGGGCAGCACGAGCACAGCAGAGCCAAAATCCTTCTCGACAGGCGTTAGCCACCGCAGCAGGGATATAGGTCCCCGTCACCGGTGGAACCCCCTCCTTGCCCCACGAAATCCCCCAGAGAGGGGCCCTGGGCTGCCCGGCCGGCACGGAAGAGGCCTCGGCATCCCAACAATGTGGCCCTGCGCCCGGCACCGGGTCAGGCACCACGTGCTGCTCCTGGCACTGGCGGGCAGCACTGCCGCTTCCCCCCCCCCCCCCCCCCCCCGCTCCCCCTCCCGCACCC